ATATATATATATATATATATATATATATATATATATATATATATATATATATAAAATTTGATACCAGATAAATATTGATATCAAATAAAATGAAAGAAATGATAATTATTTTCTCAATTTCATTTTATGTGTTAATGCTTTGATTTGTCAGAGAAATTAAGATGGTAGATTTGATTTATATAATATAGTAGTGCTGTGAAAAAGAATTCAACTATGTGAATTGTTCGGTGAATTTAAACTTTTAAACATAGTGAAAGTCATAGATACAAAAATATAGTGTCCCACAAGCTTTTTTTTTTAAAAAATAATTAGTAAAATGTGAGAAGGTTAATATTAGGGATTTTTTTTGAAAACCCTAGGGAACTCTTGTCTCTATCTCAGCTTTTGCCTTTAGAGTCGTGAGCACTCTATAGTGAACACTTTGTGGTATCTTACTTATTGTGATAGCTCACAAATCACACACAAAAAAATATATATACCACACTAGATAAACCTATGCAATAACCTCGCAACTAAATAGCTTGTAATGAACGGATTCGATTTTGGGTCTCCCATATGAGAGACAGGGCCTAGCTATACTTGGATATCCTTTGTTGAAAAATTATACTGTACTATATATACGGTAGAATGATAAGCTAAATGATAAAATAACATATTTTAAACATATTTAAAACAATGAATAGCATAGTGTGTTGGACATGTTTGAATAGTTCAGACTTAAAGTAGTTACGAATTCAAATTTCACTTGTTATATATCGTTTATGCTTTTTTAGATATTCTTTGTGAAATTCAGGGCAATAGTAAGGAATTAAGTGGGTAATTTTTGAGGATATACTCAGGAACTACTTGAGTGTTGCAAGGTGGAATTATAACCATCATCATAATTTATAATACAACTTGAGGTATTATTTTAATGTTACAGTATCTCCCAGCATTATTTTAAGACAATTTTATAGCATATATCAAGTTGTTCAAATGCCAATAATTCATTTAGATTGAGTTTATACTAGTAACTTGAGAACGATAGTAATTATTTGTTAATGATGCTGTAATTTTAAATTAAAGAAACATTGAGTGTAAAATGATTTTTACATTTTATGTGTCGTTAAATAATAAAATTTTAACAAGTATCATGTGAAAGTATATTAATTAACATGGAAAATATTATGATTAAAATGTTTACCAACTGCATGGATGAGTAATATAATATAATATTATCCATTTTAGATCAAATGTTTTCATTTTTTTTAAAGGCCTCAGACCATTATGAATATCATATACTTATAAATATCTTCTTTTTCTTTTTAACTGCTGATAGAATACTTTATTCATACACATATGACACTATAATCGTTAAATCTTTGAAACATGAACAATGATCACCTTTAATATAATGGTCATGAATAAATAAGATCTAACCTAATTTTCTTGCTTACCTTCTTTTATTTCTCTCTACACTTTTTAGGTAAAAAAGGTATAATTCATGGAAATGATCTAACTCTATCTTTTGAAGACTAACCAAAAATATAATAATTAGACAATGGTCGATGAAATTTTGTTATTTTACGATTAAGTAAACATCTGACTGGACAATTATGATTAATAAGTTGGAATTTATACTGAATTTTTTTCTTTCTAAATTGCTTATAAATTTTGGTCATATGATTAGAGATATTGCTTAATTAATTCTATGAATTGACCACATTATTTCTGATCACAAATTCCTAGATATTTGGACATGAATCTAAAAATTTCAGCTGACTTTTGAGTGCATAGATCATTAGGTCAACTGCCACAATATTATTTTTCTGCTCCATCAAATATACTTAAAACAAATAGAAAAAAAATATTTGACTTTCTCAATGTCATATCAAGATTGCCTATTTATGACGAATACGTAAAATAGACTTGAGATGTAACAAAAGCAATATATCAAGGATCTAAGATTTCTTTTATTTCCTTTTGAAATATCTACTCTCACAAAATTAGAATAATGAATTTAATTAGTTGTTGCCGGGGAATATGATGGCAACATTACTAACTACATTAAAAAAATGATTGGAACATACTTAGTATTTGCGTGAAATATCATAATTCTCTACATGGAGAAATTATTACTATAGAAAAATGTTACTCCATGAAAACTAAAAGATAGAAGAATTCAGTATTACGAAACATAATTGCCTCAAGATTCGAATACCATAGATATTTTGCTATGAACATATTACTATTGATTATCTAATTAATGTTACATTTTCATTGATACCATTTTTTAAATAAAAAAATCCTACTTCTCTCTTGTGATGGCCTTTTCATATTTTAAAATAGATAAATAAAGGCATCTTATTATCAAAGTATGTGGCTAGGTAAGACAAGGTGAAATTTCATCAGAATAGGCTTCTAAACCCTAAACATTTGAATTACTAAACAAACTTAAAAAAAAAAAGGCATTCATTCACCTTTTATCCTAATTTAATTAGATGTCTTCACTTTGCAAAATATAAATATCATACGGTCTTTAAGAATGGTAGTTCCTATCATTAGCATCGCAATAGGATTTGATGATTCTAACATAATCTGCAATTGCAACATGTAGTAAAAAATCGATTACGAAACTAACAATAAAAATATAAGTTATAAACAACTGAAAATAATAATATAGTACGTAAAAAAACATTTGGTTAGTTTTATTATGTTGATTCTTATTCTAAAATTATATTGTTAATTAATAATTAAATCACATCTCCAACTCTTATTATTAATGGTAACAAACTTCAGTGCATAGCAGAAATGAACCCATTTTTACCACTATCATTTTCACTTATTGCCACGTGTCTACTAACAATTGGAAGTGGAAAAAATGTCACCTTATTATAAATGTAGTTAAATATCCAATACTAGAGATAAAAGGTAAACTCTTAATCTGGAAAAACAATTTGGACTCATGTTAGGTGAAGTAATAATAACCTTTCATACCGCCAAAGCGCCAAAATATATACACTCCCTTCTCTCCAATAAAAATAAAAATTAGCCTTTAAATTATAATATATGTTAATTATTAGGTAAATCTCTTTAACAGTATTAGTTATTCAAATTATATTTATAAATAAATATTTTGAAAATACTAAACATAATACTGGTAACCTGCTAAAGTTATCCTTTGCTCATATCGATAGTATATAATATGTAATATAATAAAGAAAAGAAAAAGAAAAATAATAATAGAAAAACATCAAAATCAAACTTGAAAGTGAAGTATGGGAAATTAGGAAGGAAAAAAAAGGGCTGATAAAATAATAGGGGGTATATGGTCCTGAATTTTCGGTTCCAAAAGTATCAAAAATTAGAGCCGTAGAATTTTAACAACACTAAAAAGCTATATTTATTCCTCCCTAAAATGTGACGTGTCAGCCAATCAAACTTCACCATCATTTCCTATTAAATCTAATCCTTTATTAATAAGCAACCACAATCCATCGAAATATAACAATTCTTTCATAAATATTATAAAATTGCACTTCCTGTTTATTTTGTGTATTAAATATATTGCGTAAAAAGTTAAAATTAAAAAATTTCTAAAAAAAAGATAGAATGAAACAATTTATTTGATATAGACAAACATAAAAACAGGTCTAGAAACTTTCTTTTTGATTTAAATAAATATAAAGGGAAAAAACTGTGTATACAATAATTTAAAGTAGGAGGTAGTAATTGTATGTAAAGTAGGGAAATAAAATATTAGTAAGAAAATTCGATCCAAAATTCCTTTTATCTTTTGTTGTCATATTTTAATTATATGCCCCCTGATCTCTCTCCCTTTGCTTTGTCTAATCATCTTCTCTCTTTTTACAATGTCAACCAGATTCCGGTAGTTTCTCCA